AAGAGATGAATATTCCATAAATGCTATGTTGGTTTAATTAGAGAAGTGCAAACACAAAAAGAATAAAAGGTTAGAAAGATGTGGAGATGGAGAGCGAATACAGCACCCTTTTCGCAAACAGTGCGAATGATGAAGAACACTGAAGCACTTTCCTTAGGGAAGAGGAAGGAACTAAATTGTTTACACCCACAGCAAACCAGACATTATCAGAGAACAGAAGATGTGAAGCGTTGCATAATGACAACATATCCCTTTCCATTCCCACGGGAAGATATCAGTGCTACATTTTTAGAAATAAACAAAATTTACTAGTAAGTGGGAAGGTGAAGTCATCTGGTCATCCCGGTTCAGCACTTCGTTGACGGATGTGACAAGGTTATAGGAAAGGAAGGCATGTGAGGGAGAGACAGAGAAGCAACATTCTACGATCACTGCCCACTTTTGTTTTGAAATTTGCCGTCTGATAAACGTAAGCTATGGGTTTGAAGTCATGATAAATATTCAGCGACTCTGTGTTCTAATAAAATGCTTCCCGGTGAAAATGTTACTGTCAAATGCATATTTTTACGTCTTATGCATGCTCTGAAATATCAACAGTGAGAGTCGTCCCTTCAGTGCATCCATCCATTCGTTAGTTGGGAATTTTATAAGACGTCAAGACAACAAAAGAGAGGAGTCTTTTATGAGGTTACTTAAAGAATGCTTGCAACTGCTGCTGATTTACCCAAGTGATTATCTGAGTTGATCTCTGTGTAAATGGGGAATTGTAGGGCAGGTTGATCTCACACCGCCCCTCTTAAGCATTATCCCAGATTAGGAAACTAACAAAATAGAACGATCCTATTTCATTATTCCATGCACGAGTAAACAAGCATTAACCCGCATTAAACACTTGAGTTTTTTCAAGAGAAACTTGCTAGACATTTTCTACGGTATTTCTACGGTATCAGATGTATCCTCTATGTGAATGCTTTGAAAGGAAGCATTAAAATAAAGTTGAAACCACCGTGAAGTACGTGATTAGAAGTTCCTAATTACATGGAAGAGTGAGGTGGAAGTGACGCCGTTCATCTTTTCACCGACGTCTTGCATATTCTCACTGTTTTCATACTCTTCCCAATATCTGAATACGTATACGCTGCATGTCATTGGCATATTGCAATAATGCTGGACAATACATTCTATGCAAGACGGCGAGAGCCAAATCGATTACGCTTTTGCTCTGCGATAAATAAGAACAAATGGATGTATGCGGCAGATAATAATTCTTCATCATTTCGCTGCACACGAAGCCTAAGGAAAACTCTCCGTACTTTCTAAAGCAACGTAGTGAAACTGCAGTGCTGCAGCTGCAATTCAAAGATTTAGGGACTCAAAAATGCACTGTTGTTAGAGAAGGAGGAAGGGTGGAGAAAGAGAGCGACATGATGAGAGGAAAGAATAGGGAGTGTTGCGGTCGGCGGCTGTTGGGTTGCATCAAACTGGGGATGATACGAATGGAGTTGCAGTAATTGCAGTGTGGCTTCATGGAGATCGAGAATATCGTCGCCAACACTGTCTATATCAAGGCTCGAGAAAGTAAGCTATCTCCTTTTTCTGTTTTTCAATTCCATCCTGAATCACTTCCACAGTTCCTCCTTTTTCCATCACTTGCAGCGTATGCCTGTGTGGGACTCTATGGCGTGCCGAATCCGTATTCATATGACGTCCATCAGCCAGAAATTCCTTTTCCATAGTCGATGAGAGAAATTGTTGGATGACCTAGTTTACAGGAAGGTGTATGCCTCAGTGCATCTGTGACAAATTTTACGTGGTGAGAGTTTCATGCAAGGATGACTTCCAGGAAGTTTTTCCAAAATTTCTTCAGATCAAGAATTTCCACAACTGTGCTTTTATTAAGTTGTCCTTCTTTTTTTTCTTTTAAGTTTACCGTCTTCTTGTGTTTCAATAATTTATACTTGATTATTTCGTCTACCATTGTCATACTAGATTTGGTCGATTTACTTTTTCTGATTTTTCAAACATTTTCACTTGTTGATAAAACATACTTCTTTTAATGATGCTTCTCAAATTGCTTTATCCGTACCCAAGAATTGATCCGTAAAAACGATGTATTCTACTGAATTTGAAAGGATTGCTTTTTACACCTCATTTCGCTTTGCTGATAGGAACCTGCCAGCTATCCGGTCTGCACTGATCAGGAAGTCGAACTGACTTAGCATTATCGTTGTTGTTCACAATTATTTCCCATAATCACTTATACTATGTGATCCTGGACCTTTGTCGTGTTGTCTAATTGAGGCGTGATAATTTTGTCAGGATGTTTCAGCAGTTACAGAAACATTTATTTAGTTCTTTGTGTAGAAATTATATTAAAGAGAAACTATTACATTACCCCCAAATTGAATACTTTTAATCCTCAAGAGCAATTTTCTTCTTCCTCTCTTCGTCTTATGTGTATTTAGGTTGGCTCAAAATTAGTTGTAACTTTTACATTTTTTGAAACTTGAATTTGCTTTCTGATATCAATATACTTCCTCAGACAAACGTGGTTACATTACACTAGTTTAATGCGCATTAGTCCGCTTAATGTTTCCTTATAACGATTACGGTATTCTTTTTATGTTTGTTTTGTACTGCGGGAATGATGCTCGGTTTCAAAAGCTAAGGCAGTTCGCAACATCAACCATACACTTGTTCCTGGAATTCTGAAGTTGAGAACAACGAAATGAAGGCAATCATCAGAGTTAATTTTGTTATTGCTACAAAAAAGTTGTCATATAACTCATCGTGGGCGATTCTACAGTTAGTAAGAACAAAATGCAAATTTGAAAAGCGAGGAAGTTCGGTAACTTATGCTTTATGAGCCTGAAAGTCGTTCTTTTGACTTTTAATCGTCAAAAAGGTTTTGTTCTTCCCTCTGCAGTACTCATACTTTATCTCTCAGTCTGTATTTCATGAATCAGACGAATAAAGACACAAATTTGCACTGAATGTTTACCTAAACTCATACCAGTCGATTATTATCAGTCTTTTCAACAACTTTTACTGGGAAATTATTTCCATACAAAGCAGAATATAAGAAAATTTTCGTCGAATTCGACACATAAATTTCTAAGCCACAGGAATTAGCAAAAGTATGTTATGGTCATTACTTTGATTAACAAATATATACTTGAGTTTAGTTACATTGATAAATTCACGATTCAAAATTGCAGTTTGGTTTTGCATCAACTCAGTGCAAATATACCACGAAGATATGTGGCTTATTCACTGAGTGACCTAAATCGGGAGTCGTGCCCAGAAAAAAAAAGGATCTGAAATTACTCATGTGGATAGTTTTGATTCTGAAAATGCTCGGAAAATTCATAGTTGTATAGGAATGATTTCATTTGGTCTTTTTACAGGGTCAAACACATGCAGTGCTTTTTATTACTTTTCAAACTAATCGCGAGTACTAGAGACCTGAAATTTTACAGTCATGAGTTAGTGTATATAATATTTGCTTCCAAGAGCGCCAGATCTTTCGTTTTTGTCATGTTTAGTTAAGTGGCGAAGCCACAATTAGTTTGATTAGATGTTAGACTTACGTCAATATTAACATCTGGTATCAATGAATAGGTTTTTATAACACTTAGTAATAAGGGAAACGATTGGTTTAGAAGAATAAAAATTTTGGTCTTAAGTATTATTTGTTAGTCTTTATTTGTTTGTCATTTTCTTCACCCAGAATCATCTTGGGATAGGGTGACTTCTTTCCCCGCTGTTTGCCAAGCGCGTTCCCCTTCGTTAGGTAGTAGGTATGGGACAGTGGGAATCTCGTTAATCCATTCATGCGCGTCACGAATTAAATGACAAGGCACTTGGGCTACCTTAAGAGTCATAGTTACTCCCGTCGTTTATCCGTGCTTGGTGTAAATGAAATTTTGATCAAATTAGAATTCAAGATGAAATATTCAAGTCTGATTAGGTAAGCGACGGTAACTATGCTACATGTTCAGTTCAAAGAGTTTGGTTTATCACATGTGCAGGTAAAACAGTAGGTCGTTTTTAAGTTCATTAATTTGATGAAGACGGTTTAGGTTTTTTTCTGTTTTTATCATTTATGTAAAAAGTGATGTTTTCTGATCATATATGCTTGGCTTGCAAATAACTGAAAAGATGTTGCTATAATTCACTTCTACATGGTCTTAAATCTTAAATGTGTGTGGGAATCGTCTAACTTCTAGTTTCTATTAGAATAGCTGCGATTTACGTTACTGGACTTAATGTATATTTACAGAAAAAGATTTCATAAGTGTGTCTCTTACCAGGGAGACTTGCAAAGACACTAGGCAAATGTAAATGAATGCTTTGAAAATCAAAATCAACCATTTATTCCTGCGAAATGCTGTAAATTAATAGTATGATAGTTTGGGAGTGTTCTTGTCTGGTGGTAACACTGTAACTGAAGAATTGATTTGGTCGAGAACAATTAAAATTGATTTCTTATCCTGAATCTGTAATCAGATTTGGAAGTAGAAAAGACAGGGCATTGCAAACTTGAAGTCCTTTCCGCATTCATATAATGTTTATCTATATGTGGCAAATTCTGGTAATGCATTTCTGTAATAGATACCACGCACTTTATATTTGCACTTCGATTTACTCTTTAGAAAGAATCTATTAACGAATACTGCTTTCAAGTACCTTATTGGGTTCATTATCATAAAATATCATTTCATAAAAAAAAAAAAAAAATATCATTTTTACAGCACATTATACCATATATTTTTTATTCTTCGAACTTTTTTAAATCTAATAAGCGACTGATCACACCACAATATGGGAATGAAGCTGATAAGAAATGAAGTCATTTTCAACCACATAAAAATCCGGAAACTTTTATACAAAAAACTGATCTGATATCGATTATTGATTACCATTGAAAAAGCGAGAAAAATTAAAGACAAAGATTAAGACAAAAATTAAAGACATTAAGACAAAAATTAAAGCAGTTCATGGTAAATGTTCATCAGTGTTCTGTTTTTCCTTTTCTAGGTGGCGGTCAAAAGAAAGGGAAGAGTAAAAAGTGGAAGAATTATTTGCAGTTCCCGCACTACACAGAATGTTTATATCTCAGGTCGGAGATTGATGTCAGGTAATTATATCACTTGTTTAATGCATACACTTTCCCGGCACTATTTTGTTGTGAATTTTTCGATTCATACTTTTGCATTAAGATTTTTATAAGTTACGGGACATAAAGAAGTGTTAACATGGGCTGATGAAATAATATGTTTGGATCTACAAATACATGAATATAAAAAATACTATAATAGATGGTTATTTTTATCATTCTGTTTGAAATGTTATTAGTAAGTTAACAAGCATTGTTATTCTTGCAATCGCTGCAGCAACTAGTGTTTGTAAAAATGATAGTCTGCGGCAGCAAGATTCAAACCATCCGTTCATTATGATATCTATTTTTCAAGAAACAGTGCTTTGCTTTTCTTGTTATCAGTGGCAGTAGTGCTAGTTTTTAGTTTTCTTTACCTAGATGTAGTAATGTTTTGACTTTGAAATTGCAGTTAAAAAATTCGTTCAGTTATTTGGACTACTTTGTTCTAGTGCCAAATAACATTCACATTAGAATTAAATATTCCGTTACGCCTCTATATTTATTAGTTTAGGGTCTTTTTTATGTTTGGTTTCCTTAGTGGGATTTCTTTGCAATTCACAAATAGCTGAAATTAGAAAGAACTTTTTTTTTTGTGGTATTTTAAATTTCCTCGTAGTAGTTTCTAGGATACAGTTTGTCTGTGGGTACATTATAGTACTATATACAACATGCTTCAAACAAAAGGGAAATAATATATTCCGGTGTCCCATCTTTAGCATTGCAACTGCAGTTGAGTTATATTCGATGTCGAATTCAAATTAAACAAATTAAGTTTTTTGATTTTTTTTCTGAAATACCTGTTTGTTTGCACTTCAGTTTTATTTTGTTTTTTATGTGTTAAAATTTAAGAGAGATACAAAACTTCCATCATTTCGTTAGCTTCAGATCTTGATGATAAGTTTTATGATATCGAATATCTATCCTTTGTCCAGAAACCTTATGATGCTTGATTTCTCCTTAGGAGAACACCTAACAGCTAACGTCTTTATGTTTGAATCAAAACAGTTTATAATGAATGCAGCTTCTGTTAAAGAGTATACCGATATTTCTAATCAATTGTTTCATCTTTCTGGAATTACTTTATCGACATACATACGAAAAAGATTACTAATTTAAGCTGAATAGTGAATAATCCTAAAAAATAAAAAAGTCGTTCTTTTTTTTTTTTTTTTTTGTCTTATATTCATTCGAAAGAAAACTTTCACAGATACTGGAAAAAAAATTCAGGGTGAGGACCAGAAAACTTTCAAATCTTCGGTTGATGTATCTTGTCTGCCATGTGATCAACGTGCTTTACAATACTGCCAGTCATTTGCAGCTATAGTTATGTGGTCGAAAAACAACCAATCGGTAAATTGCTTTTTGAGCAGTTCTGCAATACAGATGAACGGTATGCAAGGGCGTGGACGTTCTTATGTAAAGTTGAAGAATACGAAACATCTGATGATGATGGCGAAAGTCGCCGGTCATTGGCCAAATCAATAGCTTCGCTTTTATCAGTAGAGAATGACGCTCCCTGTGTATGTATCTCTTATTATATTCTTATGCTGTATTTGTTTAAGTTTTATCTTTGTTTGATTGTTTTGTTTTGTAACTTTCATGTTATTTTTCACCTTCACTTCATGAATTTCTCTGAATTATGTTACGAATATTTAAAATGAAAAGTAGGATTGGAGAGATCTGAAATTCTTGTGCTAGGATATCAAGATTTCAAAGTTACTGTTGCTAATTTGAATGATCGTTTTTTCTTTGAGTTTTTAATCTGAATGGGTAATTTTATTGTGGTGATAATATTTTAAATTGTCCATGTGACATTTTCTCTTTTTTATAGACGTCAAGTGATTCGTTATGGTGCAGTTTCTTATCGGAAGATTTTATAGAAAAATTCACCTCCATTGCCAGTGATGCGTCGCATGAATCTGAACCGTCCAGTGGCATATTTTTCGAAGCTTACAAGTTAGTTTTATTTTGCTTAAGAAGGGCAAGTAATTGAAGCTATTTATCATATTTGTTGTTCTAAGAACTATAAAATTTCAAGTTGCAGTTTATATTTTTGTTTTCTACATATCACGCTATATTTAAATTCTTTCAAATAAGTTTTTGCTTTCCTAGTTGTGCTCAAGCTTTGTTTTTGTCAACTTTTCGTGGTTTAGGTGCTTTCTGGGCACAAAACTTATGGTTAGCTATGATTTTGAAGTAGTCTGCAGACTCATTTCCTTGTTTAAAGTCGTCAGTTAAAGTATCCATCCATCGATTTCCGTGTTCTCTCTGAATTCAGTTATGATCATTGAATATTATTCTCCCTACTGAGTTTTGTATGAAAACAAAATGGTATATTTCAGAAGTGTACAGTCATTCCTTGCTGATCGTTCGTTTCAAAAATTTTTGGAAACACATTATTTTCACCGCTATTTGCAGTGGAAATGGTTGGAAAAAAGGCCTGTGAATAAGCACACATTTCGTCTATACCGGGTACTTGGAAAAGGAGGCTTCGGAGAAGTTTGCGCTTGTCAAGTATAGTTTTCATATATTCCTTTTTTTTTTTTTTAGTCACTATTCCTCCGATCAGAAATCTTTTCGATCAGTATATTTTGCACTTTTTTGAACGAGTATCATCTACTGCTGAAGTACAATTGCCGATTTTCTTTTCTTTTCTTTTTTTTTTTTTTTTGAGGTGACATGTTTTTCCGTAAATACATTACTTTTGGCTTCACTTTTGGATGGTTCGGCACTGTTTGACTTTCCTATACTCCTTTCGGTCTTTCAGTTGCTAGTGTTTTTGGCTTTTGCATATTTGAAATCTGTCGTTTTCAAAATCATGAACTTTCTTTGGTATTAAAATATACTAAGCTTTTTTGTCATAAGATTTCATATGGATGCTTCATGATAGGGGATTGATTGCAGGTTTCTATCTTAAAAAATGTTAACCGAAGTCAGCATCAGTATTAAGAGAAAAATGAGAAAACTGCATTTTGAAAAGTTTTAATAAAGAGAGTTGTTGATATAGCTGCTTTATTAAGGCAAAATTGCATTTAAGCAAGAAACTAAAAACAACACGCTGCTAATTTAAAAACATGTTTGTTTAGTAACAAATGCAAAAAACTGATTTAAGAAAAGTCACTGTAAAGTCTTATCTAACAGCTTGAAAAGTTGTTGCGAAATCGTTTCATGAAATTTTTCTTCGATTAGAATTTTTTTATGCACTTTATTCAACATCTTCCCAAGCATTTTCTTTCTAATTGAAATTTTGTAACCTACTTTATCCGTGGAGTTATTTGTTGCAACAGGTCGTAATTTTATTGGCAAAATAAGTTTAATTGGTTGGGTTTTTTAAATAACTGCGGAAGGTAAAACTCAATGATTTGAAGGGTATAATATTTAGACATTTCCTTTCATCTCGAGAAATCATGATTTTTTCAGGTGAGAGCTTCTGGGAAAATGTACGCTTTGAAAAAATTGGAAAAGAAGAGGGTGAAAAAGAGACATGCGGAGACTCTCAGTCTAAATGAAAAGCAAATCCTGCAGAAAATCAATTCTCCGTTTGTGGTTCGTCGTTTTCAGCGATGCGTACTTTCTTGAAAAAGTGAACTTTGCTCAGTTTCTTCAAGTTTCAAACTTGGAAAAGAAGAGGGTGAAAAAGAGACATGCGGAGACTCTCAGTCTAAATGAAAAGCAAATCCTGCAGAAAATCAATTCTCCGTTTGTGGTTCGTCGTTTTCAGCGATGCCTTCTTTGTTGTAAGAGTGAACTTTGCTCAGTTTCTTCAAGTTTCAAAGTTTCTTCGAGGATATAAATTATTGTTCATGTTCAGTTTTTCATGTCATTTGTATGCATATTTTTGTGTTGTTTTTCTTACTATTTTATCCAGGAGAACTGGAAAAGAAGCAGTTAAAAGTCATCTAAATGAGAAGCGATGGGTTAGACGAAGATTCAGATATCTGAACAGAATCATTATTAAGAGTATTATTCAGGATTTAAAAACTAGCTTGTAAATTTTCGAATTTTTTCTGGCAATCTTATTAATTGATTAAATGCCTAAGCAAGAGAGTTTGACTGCAAAAAATGAATTGGGTGTTGGTGGGATGAGCTGTTTCCATAGATATTGATATACAGCTACACTACCGAGATACGCATTCATTGAAGGACTGGATAGTGTGGTAGTTACGGATCATGAATAAATTTTGTTACAGGGTATAATTTGAGTGTTGCCTTTCAGGTTAGTCTTGCATACGCATATGAAACAAAGGATTCTCTATGCTTAGTTTTAACGCTTATGAATGGAGGTTCGTTTTGGCTTGCAGTTATTTGCATCGCATTAGATTTATCTTATCATTCTTCGAAGCAAAAAATAAGAGTAGAATAAAGTATTGGTTCTTAGTCGATTTAGTTTTTTTTTTTTTCAGGTGATTTGAAATTTCACTTGTACAACTTAATACCTGGTGGATTTGATGAAAGACGTGTGCAGTTTTATGCTGCTGAAATTACTCTCGGCTTGCAGCATTTACACAAGGAGCATATCATTTACAGGGATCTAAAACCAGAAAATATCCTTCTCGATGATTATGGTTGTTTTAATTCCCTGTTTTGTCTTGAGTGGGGAATATTGATTTTTTCGTTTAAAAATGAAGTGAGCAGAAATGGAAAATTCGAACCATCAAATTAGAGGTCATTTAGTAATATTATAAACTGATTTAGGCGTAAGCTGGCTGGAAGCGAGCTATTGTTGTCTTTTAATATTCATTCCCTAAGTTGCTCATGCTTTCTTTGAGGGAATGATATTTCAGTTATGTTTTAGGACATGTTCGAATATCTGACCTAGGACTTGCAGTTGAGCTAAGAGATAATGAACCTATAAAAGGACGTGTTGGCACGGTTGGTTATATGGGTGGGTCTGTTTTGAAATTATTTTATTGCAATTTGATATATCATTATAAGGTACAATTGTATGAATTATCGAAAGTTATAATGAACTAATTAGGTATTTTCAAATGGCACCAAGGTAGAAATGCATAACACAAGCTTGTACTCTTTAAAATCTTAAATTGAAAAGGGACAATCATTTTGAAACTGCATTCATATGCATATTGTTTTATGTGTCTGACAATATTTATTGCAATTTTGTTAATTGCAGTTATAAAAGTAACACTCATTATCTGATGTGATGATAACTTTACATGGCTGACAGGTCATTCTTTCAGTTTCAGATTTGTTTTCGCAGCGTTACTTTTTTTGCATATTTCAGCGCCAGAAGTTATCAAAAATGAACGCTATTCATATAGTGTCGATTGGTGGGGATTGGGTTGTCTAATATATGAAATGATCGAAGGAAAGGTCGATATTGCTGTTGTTTGCTTCTATTCCAAAATAGCTGACATTTCATAGTGTTAGTTTGAATTATTGTTTTTGTGATAGTTATTATTTGGACCAATTATTTCAGGCACCTTTTCGGCAACGGAAAGAAAAAGTGAAACGTGAAGAAGTGGAACGGCGAGTTCATGAAGATCAGGAAAAGTATTCAGATAAATTTAGTGAATCTGTCAGGACTATATGCAGGTAACAATCGTCTCATTGTGTATAAATGGTAGCTGAAGTTTGATGGACGAATAGATGGAGTAAATTTAGATGTGCAGAATATGAATATATATATATAAATAGACCAAAATGGTAGAGTAACATTTTTTCCAGAGGTCTTCTACACAAAGAACCAGGATTTCGACTTGGATGTCGCAGAGTTGGTAAACCGGAAGAAGGTGCTGAAGAGTTTCCTTTTTTTCACAGGAGATATGAATACGGGTAGAGAAGCGGTACCTTGGAAGAAAATGGAAGCTGGAAAGGTACATAAAAGCAAATTTTTAAAGGAATTATTCAAACGAAAGATAAAATCAAATGAAAGAAGCGACAAATTTTAATACAACTTCACTCACTTTAAACCTTTTAAATTGAAGTTGAACATATGTATCTTTCGCTTCTCCAGCCATAGATAAATGCATGAAAAGGGCAGCTGGTCGTGACCTAATTCTGATACTGATGGTCAGATTATTTGGATAATTTATGAAGTTTTTTGTCATTTGTATTTTACTTACCAACTTTTGCTCAACTGCTTCCTTATCTTTTCCCTGTTAGATTCATTTCATTTGTCCTATCAGTATGGTCTTCGTTGTGGCAAAAACCGTTAGTGAAAACTGGCTATAGTGCCTTTTCAACCTATGTGAAGTTCATGAATCATATAAGCATTTAGTTTGGCTTGGTCATCGATGTTAGCTACTATTATAATATCAAATTATGATGTATCCCAATGAAAAATGATAGTTTTTTTTTTTTTTTTTTTTTAAATAGAATATATACAAGTACCACAAATTGTCGATTGTTTAGATGATGTTATTTACAAATCACATGTAAATCTAACTTTTTATTTTATATTTTTAGTTAACACCACCGTTTTGTCCTGATCCTAGAGCAGTATATGCCAAAGATGTGCTTGACATCGAGCAATTCAGCACTGTTAAAGGTGTAAGATTAGACGCAACGGATAATCAGTTTTATGGGAAATTCAGCACCGGATCTGTTTCAATACCATGGCAGAAAGAGGTATAGTTGTTGTTGTTTTTTTTTTCTTTTTTTTTTTTTGGAATTCATTTTTTTATTTAGAGCAGTTGTGAGATATGTCAGAATTTCAAAAATTTGCTGCGACGTTAATAAAAGAAGCCTAGAGAGAACTCCCTTCTTATTTGACGAAGTATCGCTGTTGATAGTTGTGGTAAGTGATGCAAACTTTGAATTATGAAACTATTTTGCTTTTCACGATAAATTTGGCTCCATTTATACTCTATAAATGTTACACTGTTGTACAGTTTCTTCTAATTGCACTGAGTTTAATCTTTAATATATATTATAGAAGCATTTGTTAGTTTTTTAGAGCAATCTACGATTACAGATACAATATATTGATAGACCTCTTGATATTTGTGATCTAGAACTTTTGAATTATTGTTTAATTTGACCTGCTTCTTGATGTATTTATAAGTTTTCTATTTCTTTAGTTTGCCAATTTTACCCCTCTCTCTCTCCCCCCCCCATAAACTTACCTCTTAGCTTGGTTCATGCATCCATATAATATATATGCTACACATAAGTTCCATAAACTAGATATGCTTTGTGATGTAATAGTGAACGTCTAAAATACAGTTGTTTTCAATAGTCTCCAGTTGTCGAAAATCTGTCGAAAAAGTTTATGGAGAATTCGAATTGAATCTCTTTTCACAATTTGGTCATTACCATTCATTAAGTGATGTCCAACTAGCTAGGTTTCTGCTCTCGCTTTGTCGATTTTCGCTGATGAGGTGATACAGTAGGTAACCTGTGCTGCAGCCTCCTCATAGCCTCTTCAAAGTTGTCACAATTGCATTTTGCTTCCTAGTTGCGTTAGCCATTTCTTTCTCTGTTCTTTATTTTCACAGCAAAGTGTTAGGTCTGTACAGAGCTCACTGTTAAGGTATGATTTATAGCTACATATATTTTTTATAGATGATCGAAACAGAATGTTTCCGAGAACTCAACGTGATGGAACAAAATGGTGAATTAGTGTGGAATTTGCGTAATGACTCGATTAGGGGTGAAAATAGCAAAAGTGAATCTAATAACAAATTTGGATTTCTCGCACGACTGTTCAAGCGAAAAGTATGCATCATATTTCCCTTTTGTCTGTTATTTCTAGTCTTTTTTTTTTCTTCGATCTTCTCGTTATTTTTGTATACTGTATTTCAATTCTATTTTCGAACATTTTTAATTTTTATAAATTTTCCAAACTTTTACCATTCAATCCAAATAATCAAAAGTAAACGATTAAAGCTAATGAAGTGCATCTTGCAGACCGAATTTTAATGTCATCACAGTGCCTTTCATCGTTGAATGTGCTCAGTACTATTTTCTTGCTAGGAGTCGATTCTCATGATGGATCATTGCAGCTTGGCCAATTTGATGTTTTTTTGTTTGAAAGCATATTACATAAAATTTGTTACCCTTTTAGAAATTTTGTTCTAGCGGTTAACAGTGATCCAGTATGATCTGATCACAGTAACTGCCGTAGACGTGTATTTCAGAGGGACAAGGGCAAAATTTTATAGTGTGGTGCAGTCTCAGCTTCCAAATCATTGCATCTAATCGTCATCAGCTTCAAATCTTCTATACCTGTTGTCTTTACTTTTGTGTATCGAAATGATTATATGCGTTTAATTAATCAATTTTGCTATGACTTTGTCCTTGTCGTCTAATGTACAGAGAACGGTTTTGCGCAGACTTATTTTTAACTTAAGTATCGATATTTTCTCGATGATGCTCTCAAACTTTTACGTACTTTATCTCTTTCGATTTCAGTGCGTACGAGAGTTCACATAGCTTGGGAAATGAATAGTTAATTCATCATTCTGTAAAATTTTTCATGAGAAAATTGAGGAACCGTGTTTTCCCACTTCCGATGTTACACTTTAGGGTCGGGTAGGTTTTCTTTTTACACCACAATATGCTTTGTATTGTAAAAAAGAAAAGAAAAGGAAGTTGTGCAGCTTTAGAGTTCCTTGAAAAAAGTGTCATGTCAGGTGATCTATTATGAAGAGTAAAAGTATATTTTGCTCACGCAAGAAATTTTACCTAAAGTAAATCGAAGTTTAGCAGGAATCTTGAAGCCATTTTATATGGAGGCTACATTTGAACACACCTCCCATAATATATGCATCTTTTTCATGTTTCATTCGGGATCATTTGCTTTTTGCTTTCCATAGCAAAATTGGCAATTTAATATGCCTTTCCAGTGCGGTGGTATAAAGCGATTCATCGAACAGATCATATTTGTTGAGACGGTTGTTACCTACGTGTTTCCTCAAGTCTATTTGCTTTTGGAAAGAAATTTACTAGTATGAGGGTAATGAATTGGTTAGGAAATTAGGTTGGAAGAATAACGAGGAAAGTTGGTGCCAGTCGATAGTCTTTCCGGAAAGTTGAAGTATACGCCAATGGTTTTCACTGTAGTGATCTTTATTTATTTGAAAACATTTGTTATTGAAAGGAAGACTACTTGACGAGGGTTGCAAGTGCCATCTGTATCCTTTCAAAGCAGTGCATAACTGAAGTTTGTAGTTGGTTCTGGAACATGTTATTTTACTGTTGCATTCTCGCCATTCTACAACCGGTATTTTTTTTTTTGGGTATGCGAACGTATAAATATGTAATCCTGTGTGATGGTTGTTGCTATGTCAACATTTTCGTTTTGTAGGAAAGCTGAAATTATAAAATTGAGACGGAAGGTGCTCGTTGTCGTCATCAATTATTGCTAACTCCAGATATCTCTTGACATCTTTGCTTATAAAAAATAAGCAGATCTAATTGTTCGGTAGAACTTTAATTCAAAAGTGGATAATTCGTAGCTTTATGAAAAAGTTATCTCTTCTGATGTTCCAGTATATGCCACCGTTTTTTTTTAACTCAGGAACACCAGAGCTGTAAACGGGGGTAACTTTAGCAGTGATTTGTTATTCCACTGCATTATTAAGTAAATGTTTTCCGAAAAACCGTGTTAAGTTGTCCACTTTTTAAATTTGAAGTTCTTATGGACTTTCCGAAAAAGGTGCATGAATTCAGTGGCAGTTTTTTGAAGTGATCAGATCACCTGACTAATAGCAAAACAGGAAACTCATGTTTGTTGTCATTAAGCGGTCACTACCTTCTATCTAGAAATGAATGCATAAGTATTGATTGAAACCTGAGATAGTGATAATGAAAGAAAAAGAAAAAAGGATATATGCTACATACTGCAAGAAATCCTTGAATAATGAACAGCTGCCAGGTTGAGCGGTATGAAATATTGTAAAACAAAAATTTCCCATTGCTTATGAAGATTACCTTCATGGTGTAATTCATATTTTTGCAAATTACATTTCTGGACTTGAATTATTATTCACCTTGGCTTTAGGTAGGCTTGATCCACGAAAGCACAAAATACGACCTAGCAACTCAATAATTTCATCATCCCTGGTTTTAAGATTTTCAAGACAAATGTTGGTAATGGAAGAATAACAGAACAATCTTTGGAATATTCATACATCTAATTTGAGCAGAATGTGATGAAACTAAAAACGGGTCGTATTATTTAGAGGACCTCATGCAGAAATTTTTCTACAACAGCAATTGCTTGACAAGTTTCTCAGCTATGGCATGTTTGAAACGTCGATAGGTAGTTGAAGAACTATAACTCACTGTTCCTTTAAGCAAAAGGAAGAAAAAAGAGTTAAATGGGACATATTTGTAACAATTGAGTAGGATGTGATGGAGGAAAAATTCCGCAAATAAAGCGAAGAAAGCGAATAGAGGTAGTCGATCGCTTTCACAGCAGATTTATTTGCTTATTTCATCTCACTGTTGGATTGTAGGATCAACCAAATTCGAGCGCCACGCCGTGAGCCCCAAAAAACACTGATCTCCGACATTTCATCCCGTAAGAAAAAAAAATCCAAATAGCTGTCATTTTTACTGCAAAAAAGGGTAAAAATAATTAGTTCACTTCGTATTAATCAGAAACACTGGAGTTTAAAGTAGCACTTAATGCTGTATATAACAACTCAATAGAGAGTCTTAATTTGACATTTCTTGAATTAGTTGCATCAATTTTGTTTATCTTTTCGCTTCTCACCTCAATAAAACTTAGCTCAGTTCATCCATTAACAACTGACCACCTACAATACTGCTTGGATTAACAGGTGGGAAACGTAATATAGTAAATCAAACGCAGCATACCAAACTTTTATTAACATATAAATTAAATGAGCTTGACGGCAATTTTATCCAAAGTTCCACGCAATAGGTAATAATTTTGTTGAATATTTTGTCATGGCATTATAGCAAACATTGCTCTGACTTCTTCCTAGCAAACTCGTCTACATTCCGGTAACGAACTTGCAAAAGAAAAATCTAAAGGCTTTTTGCCCAGAAGCATCCATTTGAATGCGCGCCTCGACAAATCACTTGGACCTTTGAGTCGATTCATCCTCCATGACATCTCAACAGAAAATTCGTCCTGCATGCAGCTTTATTACCAACCGGCCACACATATGGCTTTCTATTCGTCGAAGACCGGCGGACCACCCACAACGTTTGCAAACGTATCACAGTGTATGGTTGCTGCTGCACACGATTTCCTCACGTACGGTTTCACCACATGCGGTTTCCTCACATGCAGCTTCCTCCCATGCGATTTCTTCACATACGGTTTCCTTACTACTAGACCACCCACAGTGTCATCACATCCCAGCAGGGCCAGCATAACAGAGCGATTACAAAGAGTACGTTGGCAATGATTGGTGATGATGTAAAACAAGGGTGGTGTGAGGTAAATTCAGATTTCCAGCTCTGTCTAGAGTGCGCTTCTCCGTTCGGGTCCTTCCCTATATATCCCAAAGATGTTTTCATAGCACAAAATGTTTTCATAAGCACGGCAGTTTTCTTCTTTTCGAGAATATAAAAGCATATGGTGCGTCTACTAATTTCAATTCTTAATATAACTATTTTTGAATTTGTTACATATTGAACTTTGGTATTTTCTAATGAATAGATGCATAGCGAGAAAGCAACCAAATGATGAATTTGTTGTCATTGAACAAACTTTGCATAGATAAAGATGGCATTAAAATTCGGTCTGCAAGATGCACTTCATTAGCTTTAATCGTTTACTTTTGATTATTTGGATTGAATGGTAAAAGTTTGGAAAATTTATAAAAATTAAAAATGTTCGAAAATAGAATTGAAATACAGTATACAAAAATAACGAGAAGATCGAAGAAAAAAAAAAGACTAGAAATAACAGACAAAAGGGAAATATGATGCATACTTTTCGCTTGAACAGTCGTGCGAGAAATCCAAATTTGTTATTAGATTCACTTTTGCTATTTTCACCCCTAATCGAGTCATTACGCAAATTCCACACTAATTCACCATTTTGTTCCATCACGTTGAGTTCTCGGAAACATTCTGTTTCGATCATCTATAAAAAATATATGTAGCTATAAATCATACCTTAACAGTGAGCTCTGTACAGACCTAACACTTTGCTGTGAAAATAAAGAACAGAGAAAGAAATGGCTAACGCAACTAGGAAGCAAAATGCAATTGTGACAACTTTGAAGAGGCTATGAGGAGGCTGCAGCACAGGTTACCTACTGTATCACCTCATCAGCGAAAATCGACAAAGCGAGAGCAGAAACCTAGCTAGTTGGACATCACTTAATGAATGGTAATGACCAAATTGTGAAAAGAGATTCAATTCGAATTCTCCATAAACTTTTTCGACAGATTTTCGACAACTGGAGACTATTGAAAACAACTGTATTTTAGACGTTCACTATTACATCACAAAGCATATCTAGTTTATGGAACTTATGTGTAGCATATATATTATATGGATGCATGAACCAAGCTAAGAGGTAAGTTTATGGGGGGGAGAGAGAGGTAAAATTGGCAAACTAAAGAAATAGAAAACTTATAAATACATCAAGAAGCAGGTCAAATTAAACAATAATTCAAAAGTTCTAGATCACAAATATCAAGAGGTCTATCAATATATTGTATCTGTAATCGTAGATTGCTCTAAAAAACTAACAAATGCTTCTATAATATATATTAAAGATTAAACTCAGTGCAATTAGAAGAAACTGTACAACAGTGTAACATTTATAGAGTATAAATGGAGCCAAATTTATCGTGAAAAGCAAAATAGTTTCATAATTCAAAGTTTGCATCACTTACCACAACTATCAACAGCGATACTTCGTCAAATAAGAAGGGAGTTCTCTCTAGGCTTCTTTTATTAACGTCGCAGCAAATTTTTGAAATTCTGACATATCTCACAACTGCTCTAAATAAAAAAATGAATTCCAAAAAAAAAAAAGAAAAAAAAACAACAACAACTATACCTCTTTCTGCCATGGTATTGAAACAGATCCGGTGCTGAATTTCCCATAAAACTGATTATCCGTTGCGTCTAATCTTACACCTTTAACAGTGCTGAATTGCTCGATGTCAAGCACATCTTTGGCATATACTGCTCTAGGATCAGGACAAAACGGTGGTGTTAACTAAAAATATAAAATAAAAAGTTAGATTTACATGTGATTTGTAAATAACATCATCTAAACAATCGACAATTTGTGGTACTTGTATATATTCTATTTAAAAAAAAAAAAAAAAAAAAACTATCATTTTTCATTGGGATACATCATAATTTGATATTATAATAGTAGCTAACATCGATGACCAAGCCAAACTAAATGCTTATATGATTCATGAACTTCACATAGGTTGAAAAGGCACTATAGCCAGTTTTCACTAACGGTTTTTGCCACAACGAAGACCATACTGATAGGACAAATGAAATGAATCTAACAGGGAAAAAGATAAGGAAGCAGTTGAGCAAAAGTTGGTAAGTAAAATACAAATGACAAAAAACTTCATAAATTATCCAAATAATCTGACCATCAGTATCAGAATTAGGTCACGACCAGCTGCCCTTTTCATGCATTTATCTATGGCTGGAGAAGCGAAAGATACATATGTTCAACTTCAATTTAAAAGGTTTAAAGTGAGTGAAGTTGTATTAAAATTTGTCGCTTCTTTCATTTGATTTTATCTTTCGTTTGAATAATTCCTTTAAAAATTTGCTTTTATGTACCTTTCCAGCTTCCATTTTCTTCCAAGGTACCGCTTCTCTACCCGTATTCATATCTCCCTGTGAAAAAAAAGGATGGCTTTTCAACTCTTCAGCACCTTCTTCCGGTTTACCAACTCTGCGACATCCAAGTCGAAATCCTGGTTCTTTGTGTAGAAGACCTCTGGAAAAAAATGTTACTCTACCATTTTGGTCTATTTATATATATATATTCATATTCTGCACATCTAAATTTACTCCATCTATTCGTCCATCAAACTTCAGCTACCATTTATACACAATGAGACGATTGTTACCTGCATATAGTCCTGACAGATTCACTAAATTTATCTGAATACTTTTCCTGATCTTCATGAACTCGCCGTTCCACTTCTTCACGTTTCACTTTTTCTTTCCGTTGCCGAAAAGGTGCCTGAAATAATTGGTCCAAATAATAACTATCACAAAAAACAATAATTCCAAACTAACACTATGAAATGTCAGCTATTTTGGAATAGAAGCAAACAACAGCAATATCGACCTTTCCTTCGATCATTTCATATATTAGACAACCCAATCCCCACCAATCGACACTATATGAATAGCGTTCATTTTTGATAACTTCTGGCGCTGAAATATGCAAAAAAAGTAACGCTGCGAAAACAAATCTGAAACTGAAAGAATGACCTGTCAGCCATGTAAAGTTATCATCACATCAGATAATGAGTGTTACTTTTATAACTGCAATTAACAAAATTGCAATAAATATTGTCAGACACATAAAACAATATGCATATGAATGCAGTTTCAAAATGATTGTCCCTTTTCAATTTAAGATTTTAAAGAGTACAAGCTTGTGTTATGCATTTCTACCTTGGTGCCATTTGAAAATACCTAATTAGTTCATTATAACTTTCGATAATTCATACAATTGTACCTTATAATGATATATCAAATTGCAATAAAATAATTTCAAAACAGACCCACCCATATAACCAACCGTGCCAACACGTCCTTTTATAGGTTCATTATCTCTTAGCTCAACTGCAAGTCCTAGGTCAGATATTCGAACATGTCCTAAAACATAACTGAAATATCATTCCCTCAAAGAAAGCATGAGCAACTTAGGGAATGAATATTAAAAGACAACAATAGCTCGCTTCCAGCCAGCTTACGCCTAAATCAGTTTATAATATTACTAAATGACCTCTAATTTGATGGTTCGAATTTTCCATTTCTGCTCACTTCATTTTTAAACGAAAAATTCTTCCACATTGCCCATTTATTAAGTACTACGACTTTCCTGATGGAGGTTGCGCCAGCGTTTTGCAATATGATGAGATCTGGAAGATTGGCATGAAACTACTAATTGCACATTTTTCGCCTTTTTTAAAGATGTTTTGACATCCTGATTTAAAAATAATTCCAAAAAGAGTATAAAGATGAGAACACTCGTGTTTTTTAAATTGCTTCCACGCTTTATGTCGTACACTGCTGAATACATCTTTTTACTTACAGCATTTAGATAAAAATCATCCTTACTTGAAATTGAAAATTTGTTGCTAGCACAGAGAATTAAAGATCTGTCACTGAAAATCGATGCTTATTGAACATTAACTCCTATAGCTCAAATATCATTAAGAGTTCTGCCCAATTTGGCATTGACATTCAATGATACGATTTCCAGACTGTGATGGAACAACGTGGTAAGTTAAGGAATAACCAAAAAAGCGATGATGGGGGATACTTTTTGAAAAACTGCTAAGGTTTGTTTACATTATGGATTAGCTTCGCAAAATTGTTTTATCCAAACGTCAATGTTATATGCAGGACTTTAGGTAGCTATCAAAGCATGATTCAGTAAAAACAAGCAAGCCTCTTGAGCCAGCTATTAGACACCTGCTACGATTGTCTTCTGTTGAAGAATGATGCTCGCTAGGTATTTCTGAAGGATTCCTAGGCATATGCAGTTATTCATGCACCAATGAAATGTTTTCGTCACAGAAATGGTAGTTTTCTTTAAAATTCGTCATTAAATTTGTTGGAGAATTATGTGGTGAAAAAAAGAAAGAGCTTGCAAGTAAAATTAGGGTTGATACTGAGAATGCAAATAGAAATTGATTAGAACAGAATTCTGAAGTTTTCAGCGTGTTCATGTCGTTTGTTTTCTATATTTTTATTTTAAGGTATATTTTCTACTGTTTATGTAGAAATGAAAGAGAAATAATAACATAAGCATGTATGTTGAAGGATTTCGATATTCGCTATCTCTCAGCCTTCAAAACAAAAAACTTTCGTTATTTGTTTCTCTCTCTAGATTCTGTCTCGAGAAATTGTCAGTCAATTTTGCAAATTTTTTTTGTGTTTCATTTTTTTTTTTTTTTTTTGAAATGTGATTTTTGCTTAAATATTTCAGGGCGATATTATTAAAGCATTACTTCATTTTTTTTTTCTTCATATTGCTTTCCAAATCATCCAAGTGTACCCTGCGAGCAGATTCTCTATTTACTGGAAAGAGACTGCAATGGGTAAACAGTTTATTCCTTTTTGTACTCAATCCTGTTCACACACTTATTCTAACTTCAGCAAATATTCATTCCAAATTTTCCACTTACGCTTAAAAAATTGGATGTCCTCTGAAAAAGAAAAAATTTATATGTAGAGTAGGAATATAGCTTGAATGTTTGAGGACGAAGTTCTTCCAGTTTATGAAGCATTGATTCAGTAGATAAGTGGAAAATAATTCAATGTTGCAAGAACTTCGTTATCCTGTAGAAAGCATAAAATATACGAGATATTTAAGTATTATTTGAATCTTTCAATTTCTTGTCTTCCACTTAGTTTTCAAAGGTTACAGGTAAAGTTATATATATATGGGATCTTGGACCATTTCTATGTAGTTGTATATTGCTATTAATGTTGCGCTTTCGATGATTTTCAAACTCAACCTTCTTCTATTTCTACTACAGATATTTAAAATTTGCAGTTTTCATTAATTTTTCAAAATAGCACATGGATAGAGTTGAACGCAGTGATTTACAGTACAACAATATATAGCATTAATATGACCATTCTTTTATGTTGTATGCAGAACTTTGTATCAGTTGAAAAAAGGCCGGTAGAATGGTTTTTGCTATTGATTTACTTGTATTGCTAGAAGTAAACAATCACACAGACCATGTTTGTTTACTGATGTTTCCCAGAGTTCTGGTTAAATGATTGTCGAACTGGAATTATGCTGTTGAAGAATTCTTACTATACAGAACTCTTCTTAGTCTTAATACTTATATTGTGTTACACATTCGTTAGCATAATTACTCAAAAAATACAATTTGGCATAATTCCATCAATGATGTTTAATTCTATTTAAGTTTAAGCACTGACAAGGACACTTTAAAGAGAACTTTATCACGCATGTGATTGCGGGAGCGTGAATTCACAAATGTCTTCTTCATAATCATATCATCGCTATTATCATTCTTTCACCATATGCAGCGATTGTAGCACTTCATATGCTATTATTGTGTCAGTCACAGTAAAAGTAAAAAATAGTGGAATTATGAGGATCATCAATCAGTTCCAAGCAATTTCGTGATGCTGCTTAGTAAGATTCATTTCAGTTCATTTGAAAATTTTTAGCATTTTCTGTACTTTCTTGAGAAAAGTGGTTTTCAAGAGAATCCGCCTACTTCTGACGTTCGAGTCATAGATATATTTAAATGTGTCATATGTAACAAATAAAATTATAAAATTTGCAGAAAAGCTAATTTGATTAAGCGGTATGAGAAGAATTAAAATCTGATCTGTAATGCTTCGAATCTAGTATTAACATTCAGGTCTTTTATTTGTATTCAAAAAAAAAAAATGAAATCAAATGGATTGTTACAACACAGGAGTTTGGTAATGGTATTGTATAGACTTGTCTACTACCAAACTTCATTTTTTTAGAAATAAATTTCATTTTGCTAGAAATGAAGAGGAGATGATTTCCAAGGATTTTATCACATTATCCACAAATACTCAAATTAAGTTTCTAAAAAAGCTGCACAGAGGATACAATGGTTGGCTGTTTTCGCTGATATTCAATACAGCATTTTAATTTACATCATGTATGAGAAACTGGGAAATTTAATGGCAACATTAAAGTGTCATAAAGCTTTCTTGATTAATAACAGATTCTAAATTCAATGAAATTATAATCTGATAAGAACAGAGGAAAGTGAAATTAACGGTAACAGGATGTATGTTTAAAAATACCGTAATATCAGGTGCCATCAGCATTACTTTCATTATATGAAAACCAAGCCATAAAAATCGTTTCTTTGAATTTCACTGAATTTCCTTTGCACAGAGAAATGTAAAACACTGGAAAACAAAAAAGAAACGATATAGGAGTGAAATCAAAAATTTTGTTAGTTTTTTTTGCTGCAAATCTCGCATTACCTTTTGAATCTTCAGTTTGGAATGACTTGATGGAAAAAATGTTTCATTTTTTATTTCTTGAATCCAAGTTATTAGCTAGTTTCTCAGTATTCCTTGGAAGTTTGCATTGTCATTGTCATTATTTATTCAATGCACTCATCAAAATTAGCAATTTCTCAATTCATAATGACAACTGTTGTTAACAACAATGATCACCTTGTAAGCAGTACCGGAGTGGTAATTAGTAGAATACTTTGGAAGAGATCAAAATAGGTGCTACATTGCAAAAAAAACTCCTGCTTTTCATCTTACGATTAACAGCATTTGCTGACTTCTGTAGAGCTTGTAATAAGTATTAGTTTAATTTGTTTAAGAAAAGTTGCTCAGCTTTTCTTAATGTTAGTTTTTCGAATAAAATTCAGGCATTTTCTTGTGAATGAATGCGTTATCTATGACCTCCTTCATTCGTTTATGCCTAAAAGTAGAATTACGGAAGTTTCGAAGTTACTAACGAAGCATTAATCATGCCGAAGAAATTTAGAAAAAATAAATGTCCGAAATAATTTTTTTAAATTATATGTTCTTTTAGTTGGTGTATGATTTAGTTTATAACTTTAACTTTTATTTTTATTGCTATCATATTTGGAACAAGTTACACTTGTTCCGAATATTCCAAGTATTGCATTGTTAGCTTTTTAAATTTAAAATTTGTTCATTGCATATGAATTAGATGCTTGACTAGAGTTAGTTTTCTCGTACGAAAAATAATCACTGCCAAGTCCCGGATACTGTAGAAAGGCTTACCACTGCTAATGCTCATTTACATACTCAACTTACTGATAAAGCATAAATACGGGAAATATGATGAAATTATTGAAAACTAGAAAATGACTACTCCGGGACTAGTTCAGTCGCAGAGACAGATTGTCAAGAAAGAGTTTCGAGAATTACAAGGTGAGCAGAAGGCAATAACTTCGATCATGTGTTTAATTAATTCAAATGTTCTTCTTCGCCGAATTCTGAACCAATTTGATGATTGCAACTTAAAAAATCCTTCAATTGAATGTGATTCTGGTCATTTAAAGTGATGTTATATTTTATTGTCTGCTATTTCTTATGTTACATGCAAGTAATGCTATATATATTATCTAAGTGTTCAGTATATGCACCCATTTTGATGCGTTTTTCCTATACGAAGGTATTTCTATTTGGTATACTTTGGGAAAAACAAAGGATAAACAGTATCAGTTAACTGCATATGTAGAGTGCATTGATCACTCATTTTTTGTTTTTCATTTGCGATTTGCAGTTTCATTCCATTTCTAAATTCATTAAATTTGCACAATGATCGGCAAAAGATTTTGAAGAACATTTCGCCGTATATAATTTAAGTACCCATAAATAATGACATGCGAATGACGGGATAGTTTAACTGAAATATTTGTCAGGATTTACAGAACAGAGAGTGCTCATGATGCTGAGGTATTGTGGTGTTGAATAAAAAAAGGAAAAATAAAAAGCATGGTGATAAAGAGGTCTGTGGTTGGCAAATAATGAATTCGAAGGATGATGACCAACAAAATATTGTGTCTCCGGAACAAAAAATTCTTTCTATCGCTATTTTTTTATTTTTTGAAACATGCAGTCATAAACAAATAGGTTTGTAAGCGACTTAACTGTTAATTATATTCTTCTGCCTGATGACAACCATTAAAAGCATTCTGAAAGGTACGGAGACTTAGGCCTTATGTTGGATGTTTCCAATAAGGCATTTCCTTGGAGAGTTCATCAAATTCAATTATTGGAGAAAGTATTATAGAATAAAAAAGAAGTGATATCAACTTAAAAAGTATCGTAAAATGTTATTCACAATGTTAAATATATAGAAGCAGTAAAATGTGCCTTATTAAATTGGTAAGTTATGCTAAACAAATTCTGCAATATAGAAATACAAGAGGAAGTGTGATGCTGTTCACTTCATCAATTTTTTAAAAAATTTGTTAAATTGGAAAGACGGATAATCCACTATTAGCACTTGAATTTGTTTCGTACTAAAGGATCAAAGTACTAAAAGAATAAATCTGAGCCATGAAAAGCCTTCCAATTACAATGACTCATTACTCATTGTATCATAGAAAGAACAAAAGTTTAGTAGAAATGAAAAGATTTAAATAATCAAATTCCATTAAAATTGATGTGGTCTTTTCCATTCCTAAGTATCACACTGAGTCAAAAAAATCTTATAACCTGCTATTTTCAAAATGCTACACCAGTTCCATCTGAAGTGTTTAGTGTGAAATTATCTACATGAAATGAATGAGGCATGAAGTGATCTGTTGAATTTCGTTTAATCGGAACATTCTGGATAATCTTTTCTAATGATTTCACTAGCTAATTACTTTTAATAGACTAAAATACTTTCCTTTTTCTTTTTAGATTGCATCTGGTCATTAGACTTTTGTTAAATTGACTTCATACAACACGAGATTTACCCCACAATATACTTGATTCGATGATGAAAGAAATGTTTTACTGATTGTCAAATAATCCATTCTGCTTCAGCTTTCCTATTTGAAACAGAATTAAAGAAGCCATTTCTCTAATATCCGTAATATCCAATATTAAGGTACCATTTGAGGATCATGGGAATTTTCCCAGTATTTCCCACAAGCACCATAAAGTTTGAAGTTCAATCGATTGCTTGCATGTAAGTGTTGCAGAAGTTTTTGGCTTTGATTAATATCAGTTTGGAAAAGATGCTTGCGCATGTATCTGAATACTTTGTCAAGTGTCAGTGGATAGCAAGTTCGATAGACTCAATTCCCATATGAGTTATTGGTTGCATTTCTTCTGTTTCACCTCTAAGCTATTCTTTTTTAACTTAGCTTCTAAACATTACTATCTTATCAACCTTCATTTATGATAATTTCTACTCACCATTACTTGTTCTTGTCATTATTGTGCTAATTTGGTTATTCCAGTATCAAATAGCACTTGATATTTCAAATTAAAAGCCGAGTGCTTCATGTAAATACATGTAGCACAATATAAGATTTTGAGAAATTTTACGATCAATTTCTTCTGATAGTAAAGTTAAGTCCAATTTTTGATTCAAACTCTAAGTGAAGGTTTTTTGAATCGTAAAATACTCAGAATATCTTTCTTGTTTTGACTGTCTATTTAGATACACAACTGGTAAATATTATTGTATTTCACATACACTTTCGCTGCTATGAATAAAACAATAGCTCTGAGAAAATTTATAACCATGTAAAGCGATTTATTACTGCTCAAAACAAGAAGCAGAAAAAGACGGAGAATGCTGAACAGTAAGCAATGAAGATATTTGATAGGGCTGTAGCATTTTCACACTTTTACGCATACTCTGTTAGTATCAAATTTGCCTCAAGAAGGTAAATTATTTTATCAGTTCTAAAAATGGAAATTTTACTGAGGGAAAGTTGCGTAAGATCGTTTTGTTGGAACTGGTTCTATAACTTTCTAACATTTATATTTCATATTTTCAGAATTAACCCTTAGCCTAGAAGAAAAAAATTGGCATGAAACAAGATGTTTATTATAAGGCAAAAAAAAAGTAATAAATAAAAATCATCATCCGACATAGTGAAGTGTGCATGATCCAGAAAGATCGGTAGCAGTGGAACGTTATTGTAAGTGTAACATAACTATTAATTATTTAACAAACAAAATTTGGAGCATTAATGAACAATTTAAAAGAGATGAAGAAAAGTTGTGTCCTTAAAGAAATTTGCATTTTATGCTAAAGCATATAAAAGTCCTTCAAGTAATGTTAGAGTGGAAGCAATTCAAGTTTGACTAAACAATCCGTCTTCCATTTTTATTTGTTGCTTTGCGGAACCGGCTGAGAGATAGATAAGCAAGCATATAAATAGTAGCATAGAATGTCATTAGTTACACTCTTTATTGCAACAGTTTAGTGGTAAACAATAAGTGGAACGATAAGTGGGGTGTGGATGAAGAAGGAGGGAGTAACGGAAAGGATGAGGAGGACTGAGAGGTGGAGAATTTGGATCGGTTGAAAATGGTCAGTTCGGTTGAGCAGGACAGAGATGGATGAGAAGCGTTGCAATACTGATACTATTACGGTATGCGGATGCCATAGGGCGTGAAATGCAGGAGCAGAGCGTTGTGGATTGGTGGTGGCGAGAGGTGGGGCATCTTGGAGAGTATTAGCTTGGAATCCGAAGGCCCTGATTTCATATCAGTTTTTGATTTCCCCAGTGATTCGAGGCCTCTCCCAGCAGCACAACACGGGCCGCTGTTATCCAGCAGTTCGTGTACTTTCTATTACAATTCTCTAGCATCAGTTTCCTTCTTGCGCAAAATTTGGATAAAATTGACGAATTAGTTGATCCCGAGAGGCGTGGTTTTTTTTGTCAACATTAACCAATAGATAGAAACAAACGGGCCTGGCAGATACATGTGCACACACACACACACAAACACACACACACAGACAGACTTAGACTAAATATATGCATAGAATATCCAAGAATCAAGCAATAGAGAGAGGAGTTTTTCTGGTTGAATGTTTAAGTGGCTTTTCACGTTTTCCAAACAGCAGGCAGCAGTAACGTTAAATCGGTACCGTTAACAGGAAGGAATTTCAACAGGGCAGTAAATGTTCTATATCCAATGCCAGTATGATGTTTGGTTTCCAAGATGCAACTTTACTAAGACAGATGAAAGACGAACCGCTTGGAGCTGCATTGCGTACCCAATGGAATCCGGCAGCAGCAGCAGTAGCCGCAGCAGCCACGGTGGTGGACAGTTCGCCGGTAAGGTGAGCGGTCATATCAATAGGCGTGCGTCTGTATATCTAAGCATATCAAGCTTTAAAACTAGAACTGAGCTTGGTGGATAATTGAGGGTGAATGATGCCACTTGCAACAATCAACGCAGTCCCAGTGTCCCTGTGAAGGGACCTCCGTGCCGCCATTAACTCTCTTCCACAACAAAACATATCTTCCTCCACAACTAATTTTAATTTCTTGTCCTGACAATAATTCCCCGTTGGATTTCTACCCCGTCAATACGATTATTTCCAGTAGATTGGTTTGAAACCTGGAATTCTCTTATCTGTTTCCTTTCCTTGTCTTTTCTTCCCTTTTCTGTATTCACATATCCCAAAAACTGCAACATTGCAATACCAGCGGGACTCGTATTTACGAGTATTTCTTTCTTCCTCCGCCTATTACACCTCCCACACCCCACCATTTTGTTCTGCTGAACTTCTTGATCCCACGCTGTGGTTATCGAATATATAAACCCTTACTCTTCCGATTCCTGTACTTCGTTTCACCATTAAATGATGAGCGGTTAGTGAATGTCATGTATGCAGGTTTCATTGATTATTTGACTATCACAATGACAGCACTATTCTAAATATCGAAGCGATTTTGGAACTCTTCTGAAATAGAACAATCCAATAATAGAATAGCCTTACTTATATAATAAAGCATTACGTTTCAGTGCCCAGTTAGCACGAGCTCATTTCGAGAAGCATCCACCCAATAATTTGCGCAAAAGCAATTTCTTTCACTTTGTCATAGCACTGTATGATCGGGCAGGACAACCGGTGGAAATCGAGAGAACGCAGTTTGCAGATTTTGTAGAGAAGGAGCGTGAAGTGGACGGGCAAGATACTCGCAATGGTATCCATTACCGGTTGTGGCTTGCTTATGCTAACGGTCAGTCGATTAACAAGCAGTTCACTCAAGCACTTAATTTCTTCCCGACTTGTAACTATCCAAATTTCCACACTGATTGTAATTTCGTATCAAACTATCAGACATTTTTAGGATTACGCACAGAGCAAGATCTGTACGTTCGTCTCGTCGACAGCGTTTCCAAGCAGGTACGAACTGTATTGGTTTAAAATTCCAAATTCAAATTTCAAAAGAATTTCAAGGGCTCCATGCATTTACATTTTAAAGCGACCGCAATACCATGTTCATATATGTGTGGGAAGCATATGTTAACAGGTGGTGCAGCGACCCAATCCTTTTTGACAAGACAAAAACAATTTAATTACTGTTGCGTGGCT